AAAATATAAAAATGCCTTTAAAAATCAATCTTTATTCACAAAAATGTTCATACTTATTAAAGAAAAAAGAAAAAAAAGAGAAAGTTTTGAAAAGTCTAGAGAAATGCACGAAGCAGAAAAAAATTACGGCTTCATGAGGGCTCGAACCGCGCACCACGCACTACATTGCCACCGATGTGAAAGCAACACAAATTGTAGTAATAGACATACCAGGGGCTTCGTTCTTAAACGTTTCATAGTACTGTGTGACGTAGCTCAGAATAGTCAGCTGATCAGGTACACTTGCACACGCTATTTCTTTGGCGGAGACCTGGGGTTGAATACCTAGATGCTCCTCTGCTACTTGGAAAGCCTAAAACATCATGGGAACAATAAACCATGTCAGATACAAAAAAAAGAGTAACATGAGAAAAAGAAAAAAAAAATTCCGGCTGCTCGAAATACGTTTCCCCTATACGTAGTCATGCGCGCAATGCATAAAGGGAACGGCTAAGGAAAGACAATTTCTCTCGCCATCCCGTCACTCTCTTCGAGCTTTGCTAACTAAAAAAGAACGACTGACAACGAGTCTGATAGCTAAAATCATGACTTACCAGTTGATTGTTCTTTTCAGCTTCACTTGGATTAAGCGAATCAAAATCTCTGTAAAAAAACATTTGATAAATTGATGAAATATGTTAACCACGTGAGCTACGTAATGATCCTTTCCCACGTGACGTTGTCGAAATGCACCATGGGATTGACGAAAGTACACACTGAGCAATGTTGTTGATTTTCGCCCGTGTTTCTACATGCGTTCTGGGGCGAATATTTGTTTTTCTGAACATCCAATTTCCGCAGGCAACTATCACCGTATAATTCCCTCGATTCAACTACTCTATTGTTTAATTAGTATCGCTTTTATTTGACCGTGCGTACAATGAACATGGATATTTGTTTATGTAAAGCAAAAGAAAGAGTTTGATATAGAGACATGGTCAATCACGACTTTCAAAAAATGGCGAGATATATCACGGTCGCCGACCAGGGCACTGGAAACGAAGCACTAAAACGAGGTCTCAACGGCCAGCCTCCGTATAGTAAACTTCGATATGGTGTCTTACAAGAGTGTTTTGTTATAAATAACCAATCCAAAACATCTTTCAAACTTTTGGACACTGCACACATGCGATTTTCGTAGAGATTTTTTGGTGGAAGTCTTTTGATGTCTCGTTTTCAATATTCGTCACTAGTCCCCCGACATTGCCGATCGTGAACTACCACCATTTTTGAAAATCGTGTATTACACCTTGAGACGGCAAAATCTGACTGCTGAGGTGTGTTAGTCGAAAAGACACAAAAAAGAAAAAAAAAATGGAGTTACATGGAAGTGTGTCACATATTATTTGACTTCATATTACACTAATAATTATTAAATTATATTTCACGGCAAAATGAAAACAACGCTAAGATCAATGTTTGTAGGTGTGAAAGAAGGGTTAAATCATTGCACACTAAACGGCTGTTTCACTTCGATGTAAAGAAACGACTATTTTTCAATTGTTACCGCACGGTTACCGCACAGTTACTGGACTTGGCCTGCACAATTTTTGTGAACCAATGGGGTACTAGAATTTGTTTACAGTACGATTACGGTCACAGTACAGTACCGTCCGTTTCCCACTCATACGAAATCCGCTCTACCGGAATACCGCTGGAATACCGCCTGGAATACCGCCCGGAGTACCTGGAATTCCCCGGAATGCCGGCCTTAATCCCGCGGAATTCCAGGTACTACGAAATTCAAAATGGCGGCCAGTAACTTAATCAACCAATCAGAATGTTCGAGTGAATCACTCGACCAATCAGAAATTTACCGGCCGCCATTTTGAATTTCGAATCGAGAACAAGGTTTAACAGACTTCGTGCCCAGGGGTATTTTTTCCGGGAGTGAGGAACGAACGACAGAAGATTGCCCCTGGGTTCCAAAGGACGCATCACTACTTGATATTCACCAAAACAAGATAAATTGAAGTTAAAAGAAAAAAAAACATCAATTGAAGTTATACAGTTATACATTGGGGGGAGAATATAAATTCCCAAATATCTGTTTTTAGTATCGTTTTCAGATGTTAACATATTGTGACGTTGTAATGTAATAGCTCAACAACAGTAGCTTGACTCACATTAGATCTGGACGGAAACGATGTATGATTGCACACAAAGCAAGACCATCCTTCCAAGACGTAGACATGTCATTAATGATAACATTCTTGTAGTCTTTGGTATGCTGTTGACACCATTTCAACACAATGGAAATGTTTACTGGGAAGACAAATGAGT